CCTTTTAGTTAGGTGTTGCTATCCATGTCTCTGACACATTTTGAAGTAACCCATCATAGTACAGTATTTCAGACCAGAACAAAGATAATGCTGTTTCTGTCTGGAAAGACCAATACTAAATTACGCTTTTAGAACAGCAGATCAGGAGCTGACATAGAGTGTTTATGAGGTTCCTTGACACACTAGCAAATCTCATGATATGTTCATGAGAGATGCAGCTTTATAGTTCCCTTTGTGTATCGCTTATTGAAAAGAAAATAAGTGTATAGGCATAATAATTGTTGCAAAAGGCATGAAGAACAACAGTGATCAGAGTTTCTGAGAACTAACCCAGGGAGAAGATTGGACTATGTAACATCCAGTTTTATTGGGAGAAAGAGAAAATGGAGTAGCAGTGACTGAATTTAATAAGCAATGCAGCTTTTAGATTAGAGTCATCAAAACCCATTTATTAATAATATAGGCAAAATGGGACACAAATATTTCTAGCCTTTATTCACTTTTTCTTGTAGATTTGTTTGGAGGTGTTGTGGTTTTTTTTGTTAAATAATATTCTAAAATGAATGAACTGGTACTTAGTTGCAAAAAACAGAAGCTCTTCTGGTAACCCAGTAGAATAAATACATGTAAAGAAGAGCTACTTTATCTGGAAAGCTAAGTGCACAATGGATTAGAGTGATATAATCTTCTCCTTGTGTGCAGGAAATTACTTAGTTCCTATATTATAGATGTTCATTATAGCTACCTAAGCAGTAATACCCAATGTAGACCAGCCCTGGATATTGACTTGATTAATTTCTGCCACTTAAAATGTTTACATGATTACTCTCTTGTTATGATGGAGGTAATTCTATACTACAGAGAACTCAGTACCACTGTCATTTTTGAGTTGTCTGAAGAGCTTTATATGAAGTGGTGGTCCTTCAGAATTCCCAGAGGGAAAGTAGGAAATTAGTTTTTCCCCTAAGTTTCACTTCATTACATTCCAGGGCAAAACCCTAGCTGAGTGCTACAGTGCAACTCCTGTCCTCTTCCTCTGTGTAAATCCCCCCAAATTCTTGGGAAATAAACAACAGCATTGTAAATTGAAAACTTTTTGTTTGTAGGCAAAGGCACTAAAGCCATATATATTGGGAGGTGATGCATTTTAAGCTCAGGTTCTTGGTAATGGTATATGAATTTATACAATCCCAGTGGTGAAGGTTTCTAAAAGTTTCATCTACTTCCCGCAGCAGGAAGGAGCTGTGATCATGGCCTTGCAACACTGCTAATTTTACATCAGCAGCATTGTTTTGGCTAATCGTATGAATTCTTTTTCTGCTGAAACTGTTTCAATTGATACTTCCACAAAGGATGCCATGAGAGATTCCAGCTAATTGTGCAAATTCTTTTAAACTTATTCCAGATCTTTTCTTTAGGCTGTCTGTAGTGCTGGTTATACACAAGTTAAAAGCTATTTTTAGCAGAAGTGATTAAAATTCCTTTCTAATTTCCTGGAACATCCCCCTGTAGCTGATCCTTGGGTACTTCTTAGCTACTTGAGGATTTGAGAAATGCAGTGAACTTCATCATACGTTTTGTATGAGCCCGTGAGTACCTCATCATTAGTACATTGGTATTTCTGCTTATGCTCTGTAGATAGTATACATCAGTCACGTAGTAACTAGACACAAAACTTATTTTTGAAAGTACAAAAAAATCAGGAAAATGCTTTTAGTCAGATACCTTGGCACTATTAGGAATGTCATTTTTAGTATTCTAAAAATATTAATGACTTCACAACATTTTCTTCACAACCCTGAATATTTTTAGAGTAAAAATAACTATATGAGTCAAAATAACTATAGTGCTTCAGCAAGGGCCTGATCAAATGGTACATTCTTAATCATGGACTATAGGAGAAAACATGGGGGGAAGAAAAGTATGAGTGGGAATATTTTTTGATCTGAAAAGTAGTTTTTGTCCAGGCTGGCAGCCTGCATGCCAAGGATGAGCAGTGCATCTGTCTGAGGGATCTCTGCCATGGTACAGCAGTGCTTGGCAACAGCACCACAACCTGTGGCATGCTTGCTCTGCCACCATAGACCCAGCAGCACAGCTGCCTTGGTTTCTCTTCTGCCCTTGCCCTGTCTAAAGCTCTCCTGTGTGCCCATAGTGAACACATGCTTCAGATACATAAACTAGTATTTTTCTGATCCTTCTGACGGAGTGAGTTGGGAAGGGGTTTCTGCTGATGATCCGCAAAATCCTGTAGCACTGCGCACAGGTCTGATGTGACCAAACAGGTGCTTATATTAGAGAAAAGCAAAAAGTCATGCAGATTGTTCTTAATGAGGAAATACCAGCTTTAAATATGCTGGTGCAGAAGGCATTGTGGAATTAAAGATTGGATGACTGTAAGGTAAGTTTTTGAAGTTCATCAGCTCCATGATATTACTAAATTGCAGTTTGAATAGAAATATTAATAACTTTATATTAAAATTCTCTTTCTTAAAAACCAAAACAAACAAAAGAAATAAAAATACCTATATTCAGTCATGCTAGAATTTAGTATTCTAGAGGAAAAAATAGTAGGGTTTGGTTTGGGGTTTTTTTTTCCATTAGGGAATTTATAAACTGTTTCAATGTTCTGAGTTTATCCAGAAGATCTTATTGTAAATAATTGAATCTT